ATACAGGCACAAGGATCAGATGATTATAACCAGTTTTTTCACCTATATAAATGTTCAGTAGGATATTTGAAAACTGTGTAGGATCAGGACAGTCTTGTGTGATACTGTCTTGCAACATGCAAGACATTGAGCATCCTTGGCCTCCCTTTCCCTCCACCCCCTAGTCACTTGACAGCACAATTGCCCCAGTACATTTCCAAATTGCTCCCTAGGGATGGTGCCGCCCTGGTTGGTTGTCTGAAGGCTGTTCCTGCCTGCCAGCCTTACCTTGGGCTGTTCTCTCTCACCAGGCTCTCTAGCTGCCCTGGCCTTCCCAGTTTTTCTCTAGGCTAATCTCTTTCCTCCAGTACTTTTGTGTGCTCTTTTATTTGCACGAAAAACTGTCCACTTCGTGTCTTCATAACTCTTACCGAACATTTGGATCTCAGCATTCCCAAATCCCCAATATAATGTAATACTTTTGCTTTGTTTTCCACTGGACTCTGTACTTTTCTGCAATGGGACTCATCACAGTTAGTGATCTCTACACAAGTTTTATTTTTGGCATGTCGGAGTGTGTTTATTGCCTGTCTCCCTCAACTCTCAGCTCCCTGAGGGCAGGGACCATAGCCATCTTGTCCCCCACTCATTTACCCAGTACTCACAAAGATGCCTGGAACTCAGCGTCCTTAAGAACTTACATGCCTGGCAAACGACACACATTTCTTAAGTAACTGAATGGATGATTGAGAGAGACAGCGTGTTCACTGAGGGGGAGGGCACGCTTTTTCCAGAGCAGATGGAGTTGAGCTGCAGCAGCCGGGCATGCAGGGTCCACCCGCTTCACTCAGGTTAGCGGCTGCAGAATGCATGCGTCTTCTCTCGGGGCAGGCCGGATTTTCTCCTTAAAAAAAAATATCCCCAAGCAGACTTTTGCTAGGGCCTCAAATCCCTCAAACCCATTTGCGTATTCTAGGTTAAGAACCACTGGATGAAGCTTTAAGTGGATGTTTTTCATGTGACGTTACTGTTTCACAAAATTATGTGGCTAGAAGGGATAGCTTGAAATCGTGCAGTCTTAGAAGCTGCTTGCTGAGCCTCTGGGGTTGGCGTGTCATCGTGTTCCTTTTAGTTCCATCTCGTCCTGCGTCGTCGTCAATTGCGCGGTTTGAAGAATGCTTGCTGGCTTCCAGGGTGCTTTCCCTCCTGTTGAGTCCTTGAGTCAGCCTGTGGCCTCCATCAGTGAGCAGAGGTGACTTTTGGAAGAGGAAGGGCTCTGGGGGCTCTCTGAGGGGAGGGGCTCAGGGACTGCTGAGAAGTAGAGGAGATATTCCAGTAGTTTCTTCTCAGGAACTCATGGCGTCCTGGAAACGCCCTGGGTTCATGGCCAAGTGCACAGCCCTGGCTTTGGCCCTTGGTCTCAGGAGCAGGGCCATTGACACAGGGTCTTGCAGCTCAGATAGAGGATGCGGCCAAGCGTGCCTGCGGCAGTCGTGGGGCTTGCGTTCATGTGGCAGTTGTGATTTCAGATATATTGTCCATTTGTCCCCAGAAGCAAAAAATATCATTCAGCAACATAACGGCATATCACTCACTGCCTCATTTCCTCAAGTTGACAAATTTGTTTTGGCTCATGTCTCAAATTTCTGGTTACCAAATATCTGACTGAAAATATGCATTTTCTAGTTTATCCGTGGGTTTGTTTTTTTGTGTTCATTCTGGTAGTTGGGACCCAGACTGTTTTTCTGGGCAGATCTCTGAGGGGAGGGGTAGGCTGTGGGGTTTCTTACTGCCCATTTTGTGCCTCCTGGGACAGCTTTACCTTTGCCCCTCCCCCAGTCCTCTTAGCCAACAAGCGTTTCTGCCCCTTTCCTGTGTTCCCCACCTTCCTGGGTCCTTCCACAAAGCCAGCAGCCTTTGATGGACACTCGCCCCACTTTTTGCACTTAGTTGAGTCAGGTGGAGGTAACTTTTCCATGGGGAGGGGCTTGGCAGCAGGGGTGTCTGGCTGGGCCCTCCAGAAGGGGGTTGGGGCTGCTGTTGTGACCAAACCTGCCCCTTGTCCAAGAGCCTGAGCTGCGCCCAGTCTAGGTGGCCCGGAGGTCCTTCGTATTGCTTCTGCCCCATGGATCCAAGTCTCAGGGGATCTGGTCCAGGCCAGGGCTATTTTAATCCTTAGGGGCCACCACACACCTGGCTGCAGCCCAGAGGCAAGGGTGATTATATCCAAAACACATCTGGCTGGGGAACCCGGGAGCAGGTCCTCCTGGACCGACAATTTGGAGGACATCTGCCCCAGCCCAAGGGGCAGCCCTTGCTCAGCAGGTGTCTCTTTTTCCAAAGGTAGGCTGGCCTCCTGGTCTGGCTGGGGCTGAGAGCCTTGCTTCTGGAAGAGCATGAGTTTCTCCTTCCTTGCTATTCAGCCTGTTATTATAAATTTACAACTATTCTGAGTCAGAGCTTGTACCTTGTGGGACATGTCATTATGGAATGAAGACTTTTTATCTTCACTGGATGCAAAATGATAAGTGTCAGGTGAGGGGAGAGGGACATTCATCTCTCAGAAGAGTGGATCAAAAAGATGACCCTTTCTTTAGTCCAGATCAGGATGGGGAAGACAATGGTGCTTTCACAATAGAGATGCTTTTTTGTAGCTTTCCCTGTTTCTTATTTGCTCTGTAAAACGGAGGGCAAGGAGTTCTCGGGGCAGCATCTGAGGCTAACTTAAGCCCTTGAGTGAAGCTCTCAGGCTGCTACTCCTGAAATATGCCTGTCGCTCCCACGAGCTGCTAGAAGATAAAGTAGAGAGGAGGAGGGCCCTGCTCAGAGGAGGGTACTTCTGAACTAGAAGGATAGAAGGTTATGTAGCTGTCTTGTGACGACAGACTTCAAGTGTGTTGGGGAAGGGTACCACTGTGCAGTGTGGTGACTCCTGGGTTTTCCTATTAAGGTGTGGGTGATCTGAGTTCCACACAGGCTGAAATCTGGTGACACACTCCTCTTGGACTCTAGCATGTCTGAGCTGGGAGGCATCCTTTCTTCCTTTTTTTTTTTTTTTTTTTTGAGACAGAGTCTCACTCTGTTGCCCAGGCTAGAGTGCCGTGGCTTCAGCCTAGCTCACAGCAACCTCAAACTCCTGGACTCAAGCCACCCTCTGCCTCAGCCTCCCAAGTAGCTGAGACTACAGGGATGCGCCACCATGCCCGGCTAATTTTTTGTATGTTTTTAGTTGGCCAATTAATTTCTTTCTATTTTTAGTAGAGACAGGGTCTTGCTCTTGCTCAGGCTGGTCTTGAACTCCTGAGCTCAAACGATCCGCCCACCTCGGCCTCCCAGAGTGCTAGGATTACAGGCGTGAGCCTCTTCCTTGATCAGAGGACACAAGTGCCTGAGGTGGGAAGGCACACCCCAGTCCCCTGGGTCCTTCTCCCTCCTCCAGGACTCTCTGGCTCTTGCTGGTGACTATGGAGATGGGAGAGACCTGGCTGTAGAGCCAGCCTTGGTTGGCATCTGGCCTCTCCTGTCAGCCCCAAAGGTCTCTCTGTGAATACCAGCATGCGGCCAGAGCTGGGCACATAGCCACTTGATGCACCTGCGCTGAGTGGACAGGAAACAGGTGGGTGATGTTCAGTCTGGAGCTCCCATGTGTGAGGAGCCGCAGCGGGGCCACGGGGTACGCCCAGAGCAGGCCCCACATGTTCTGCCTCCCCTCAGGTCGGGAGATATGCAGAATTTGGGCTTGGATTTTTCTCCTCATTAGTGATATAATTTAGAGGGTTTTTCTGTGGTTTAGCAAAAGTCTTCCAATTTTTAAAATGGCAAGTGCTTTTGAATGGAGTAGAAAAGTTAAAAGAATAAGAGTTACCCATATATGTACCACCTTGATTGAGCAGTTAATGTTTTGTCATACTTGCTTTATTTCCATGTGTGTATATTTTACACTGAACCTTTTGTAAGGACATTATGGAGCTTTACCTAAATACATCAGCATGCACCTGAGCACAATCACTGGTTTTGTTGTTTGTCGTTTGGCCTGGCCCTGGGGCTTGGGGAGCAGCCGTGCGGGAGGCTGGCCTTAGGAGCAGTAGGGCTTGCGGGGACACTTGCTCCTGCTGTGGCACTGCTGCCTTGTTTCTAGCCTCAGTTTAGAACGTTTCAAAGACATATGGTGCATTATTCCAATTCATGAAAAAGAATGAAGACACCAGCCTGACTGTTCTCCCAGCAGCCAGCTTAGGCACAAGATAGGACCCTGTGTCTGTTCCTGTCCCCACACTCCATCTGGAGCCCCATTGGCCTGTGCACAGAGGGCTCCTCAGTGCTATGATGTACTTGACCATGTAATAGTATCAGACATGTTCGGCACATTTTTAAACTATATGTAAATAGTATAGCTTTATTATTTTCATCTGTAAACAGGGCCGCTGTTAACTCCCTCATAAAGCTGTTAAATAAGAATGATATATGTGTAAATACCTGGTCCCATGCTGGCAGGGAGTAGAGATTTAGTAAGTACTATTTTACTTCTTACGTGATAGGCGTGGAGAAAACTATTGTGGATGTTAAAATGGGCAAATAGTCAAGTTGGCAGGGAAGCAGATCCTCCTGCCTGCTTAGGTGCCACCTGAATCCCTGGAGTTGTTTCCTTACACTGCTGAAACTGGCCAGCAGGGGCCAGCTCTGTCCTCGGAATTGTGGGCTCATTCTAGGGCAGGAGGCCACCTCAGAGGTCCTCGGGGCCCTCCTGCTGGGTTCACCAGGAACTGTGGCTCAGAGACACATAGTCACGCTCGGGGGCCCAGCTGTGCTGCAGCGAGGCCAGGCCCCCATCCCAGCCTGTCCCTCCAGCCCTGCCTCCCCCCAGCCCAGATACAGCTCTGTGCAACAACCACTCGGGAGCTGCTTCCCCCGGCTTCAAGTGGCCGGCGTGTGGGAGAGTGGAGGACTGTGCCAGAAGGAGACATGGAACTAAAAACAAGGCTAACTTCCCGGGCAGGGGCGCCTGACTCAGATGCCCACAGCCCTGTGTGAAGCTGTCTGCTGGGCTTGCTCCGCCCGAAAGCCCTTTTTCTTTATTCTGCTGTAGGACATACCCCTTTGGTGCCTGGGCAGGGCCCTTGGGGAGCTGCTGGAGAGGCTCTGTATGGGCCAGGGGCATCGGAGAAGTCAAGGACTGCCAAGAGCCATTCCTAAACCCGAGTGGGGAAGTTGGGGCAGGGCTGGGCGAACCTTGTGTAGGGAGAGACCCCTGAGAGCACTTTGTGCTTGTGGTGCTCCCTGCCTGGACTGCTGGGAGGCTGATGCCTGCCAGTGGTCCCTTGAGCCAGCAGTGAGACACCAGTCATCTTCCCCTGGGGACCTCTACCAGCCTGTAGGGAATTAGCTGAGGGCACCTGCCAGGGTATCTCATTCTTGGGTTGGATTCTGTTCCACAACCACCTTCTGTTCCCTGGCACAGAGCATCCATCCAGAGTTAGTGCATGAAATTCCTGCAGCTAGGACCTAGAGCCCTGGGGTGGGTTGGCTGAGGTGGGGAGGTCTCTGTCTGCAGGTGTCCTTGGAGCCTGCAGCGCCTCGCAGTGGCACTAGGTGGCACTCCTATCCATGGGCATCTTAACAGGGTAGGAGGAGTGGGAATTAAGGACTAAGTGGCCAGAAGGGCCTTTTTCAAGGTGGGAAAGTAAATTTACCCCAGAAGGTTCCCCTCCTCAAGTAATTTATTTGTTAATTGTTTGAAATCCAGAAAGTGGAGGTCTGGTTGGAGGGCTAATCTCTGGGCAGACTGGTGGGCTGGTTTGTGGTTTCTAAACCAGTTCACCTTAGCGTGGCTGAATGGGAACGCTGGTGGGCGCTGCACATGGGAGGGGGCCCGAGTGGCAGAGCTTGCTCAGCAGGCGGAAGCACAGTGCGCAGAGCCGGGGATTTCCGCCCATGACCTTTCTCTGCAGGTCTTGCTGGGGCTGGGTTTCCTTCTGTCCCCAGGGAGCCTGTGTGGCCTGGGCTGCAATACTGGAGGCCCTGGGGAAGTCAGGATGGTCTTCTGGGGTCTTGCCAGTTCTGGAATTTGGTGGTGCTAAGATGCTTTGTCAGCATCTTTCTGTGCTTTAACTCCTTTTTATCCCATTTCATGTTTGCTTAGAGCTTGGATGTAAGAAGAGGCCTGAAGTGTCACCGGGGTTTAGGGAATGCTGGGGTCAATCCCAGCAAGTCCTAACTAAACCTCAGCCCATAGGTTCTTGGCATCTTTGACTTTATAATGAAACCAATTTTATCATAAGCTAAAGAAGAGTTAAGCTGCCATGGCATATATTTCTGGTCACAAAAACATCACCAAACTTCTAAGTAAAGACCCCAAACCTTTCTAATATTAAAAATTGAAATAAGCGTGAGCTATATATATACTTAAGAAAGATTAATAAAAGCAAGGTAATTATTTACCTGCTTATTCCAGGGTCGAGGGTGGCCAGAACCTGTCCTCCAGGATAGAGTGCACGGTGGGAACCCACCCTGGGCAGGACACCATCCCATCGCCGGGCGCGCTCACATCCCCTGGGACATGTCTGACTCACCAGCGAACCTGTGCGTAGCTTTGGGAGGCAGAGGGAAACCAGAATTCCTGGAGAAAGCCCACGTAGACATGAAGAAAGGGTGCAGACTCCACACAGACAGGAGCCCCAGCTGGGAATCGCTGTCCCCCCCCCCATCAGTGTTATGATGAAACGATGTTTTTCAGGGACCTGCCGTAGTGATGTCTGTCGTGGGCTCAGGATGGGAGGATAGGAGGGCAGCCTGTGTGTCAGATATTCTCAGCCCTGCACCAAAACTTGAGGCTCTGGGCTAGAACTGTACCTTGCTCACCCTGCCTCCCTGTTCCGAGGGTGCACAGTAGGTGTGGAATATCGTGCGGATCCATGACCTATCATCTTCCCCTTGCTGCATCCAGGGTCCAGGGCTTGTCACACAGCACTTGCTTGGGTTGGATCCGGGTAAGGAGGACAGGTGTGGGGCTGTGTCTGCACAGTGTTGTGGCCTATTCCAGGCTGCCCTGGCCCACCAGCCCCATCTCTTCGCAAGCCCTGTAGGCACTCTCCTCCTGTTCCAAATGATGACAATTGTTTTAGAAACAGAATTCTCAGTGGTCAGAAGCTGGAGTTGTTCAGTGGCCCAGAGAAGACTGGGCCTTCTGAGGCCATCAGACCATCGTATGGGTGACGGATGGGAGGTGCTGAGTTGGTTGCACAGCTGTGAATGAGGCTTGTTGATTCCATACCCTTTCTTTGGTTGAAATGTGGCCCCTCAGGTCTTCTCCTTCCTCTAAAAAATGTTAAGCTGATTCATTGCATCCCATGTGGACTGAGTGCTTGCTGGGCGCCTGGCATGTGGCTGTGGCCGTTGGCTGCTGACCCTGCAGACTGGGGTCCTTCCATCTAGTGGAGTAGAAGGACACAGCACACATCATCCTTCGGGACCTTCACCCCAGCAGGAAGCCTGTGTGCTCTGGGTGGCGCAGTGGGACCCTGTTCACGGCTGCTCTAATTCACGGTCTCCATCATTTTGGGGGTCAGGGCATTTTGTACGTCAGGGCGAGCCTGCCTGGAGGATAGCATGTGGGCTGGGGGTGTGGGAGAGATTGAGAACCCCGGTGGTGAGGTCAGCAGTACTGTGGTGGCCTGAGCCTGCTTGGCAGTGGGGGAGTGGTGAGGGAGGCAGAGGCTCCTGGAGGCCAGCCACAGGCTGAGGACAGACAGGCTGACAGATAGGACAGATGGGCCAGGGTATCTCTAAGGGCAGGAGCATCCCACGACAGTGCCCAGGCAGAGCTGGTCGCCCTGCCACCACTCTTCCCCTTCTTCCCTGGCCTTGGCCCCGCCTCTTAAAGGGGCCCTCAGTCTGGGCGGGTGGCCCGGCCTGGCTGGAGCTCAGAGAAAGCGGCGGCTTTAACGGTGGCCAGGGTCGGTCTCCTGCCCCCGCCCCGGCAGTCTGAGTGGCTGGAGCGTGAGCCCCGCCCACCCCAAGGCTCCGCGCCGGGCGCACCTCCCTGGGAGCTCGAGGCCAGGGGAGCCCGGAAGACGCGCTGGGACCCACCTGCCGGTGAGTGAGCTGAGAGCTGAGCAGACCAGACGGGGCCCTGGGCCTGGGAGCCACAGGTGACTTATCGGGGAGGCGCCCTGCCCTGCCTGTCCGGAGGACTGGACGCGGGGGGAGTGCCCTTTCTAGCTCATTCTGGGTGCGGGTTGGTTCTTTCACTGCTGGGAAGGATGTGACCCTCGGGCCCGAGGAACCCACCCAGACAGTCTTGATCAAATTGTGGGCTTCTCCTGTCCCCAACATGGGTCACGGGGCCCAGGCTGCATGAGCTCACTTCCTTCCTCCCCAGCCTGCAGCATCCCCGGCTGCGCTGCGTGCGGGAAGTGAGGGAAATGCCGGCACAGCGTTGGCGTTGGCCGCAGGGAGCCCTGGGCTCAGCAGCGCCACTCTCGCCTGAGAGCTCCCATCTATGCTGCCCCTCAACGGGACAGGGTACCTGAGGGAGAGTGAAGCGCTTGTTCCTCAGTAGAGCCTCACTGTGTCACCACCTGAGGGCCGGGGACTGGGTGGCAAGCTGCCTCTTTGTAGAGCTGTTTCCTCCAGGCACCAAAGGTCATCTGAGGGGAGGTTCCTCTTCTCTGGGTGATTAAGTGCAACCTGTCTCTTCCCTGTGCTCCTGGGTGCCTGGCCAGGCCGTTGTATTTGCTCCCTCTTCCCCTGCCCTCACTCCCCCCATGGCTCTCCCATTTTGCCCAGGGGAGTCCACTTTTCCAGTGCCCTGCTTGGGAAGTTGATCTGCTGCTAGCCCTGGGACACAGGGGAGGAAGGCGTGGTCGCCACTGGGCACAGCTGCCAGGTGCTGGGGAGAAAGCCAAGACCCTTGCCTCCAGGGGAGTACGCCCAGCCCAGGTTAGGCCACTGGACACATGATTTGGGGCCCTGGAGGTTTTTGCTAAGGCTTTAGGAGGGGTGACCCTGGCTCCTGGCGATTTCTACCAGAGAGCAGTTCCCACGGAGTCCCTGGCTGGACACGCAGAGCTACAAGGCCCCGTGTGCTTTGGGAGAGCTGGTTGGGGCTGCGGGTGGATGGTCTCATCTCTCCCTCACTGCCTGCCCTGCCTTGCCCAGGCTCAAAACAGACTCCAGGAGCACGAGCTCAGGCACACACATCTACACACATACACACGCACACACACATGCTCTTGAGCCACAGACCCCTGGCACCTGACACCCCACACGCGCTCACAGGCGCCCACCCACACCGGTAGTAACTGCTGGCTGGCCTGGGTCCCTCCATGCGACTTCAGTTGGAATGTTCCATTCCACTGGGGGGAGCAGGTGCAGTGGACCTTGTCCTGGGTAGTGAGGGGTGGGTGGAGACATTGCTGTGCTGCTTGGGTGTGACCCCCCCCAGGTCAGCATGTCCTGACACAGGTGACCCCCTCCCCCACTGTGGTCCTGTTGGCTGTTGCTTCCTACTCCCAGGGCAGCCACTGCCCCCTTAGCTTGGGCTCCTCTTGCAGAACTGCGCCCAAGTCCCAGTTCTTTGCTCCTGCCCTGTGATGGAGACCTCTGCCCTCCCAGGGTGTGGGTTTGCCTTTTTGGAAAGAGGTGTGGCATCAGGAGTCAGGTCTGGGGGCCAAGGAGGCTGTGTCAGGCTCTCGGGTCGGAGCGAGGGTTTCTGAGCAGAGTTGTTCTCGGCCGTGGTCACAGCTGTGCTCTGAGCCTCAAGGAGGGTGGGCAGGAGGAATTTTCTTCCCATTTTCTAGATGTGGGAACCCAGAGAAAACTTGTGGCTTGCCAAGGCCTTTCCTGGCTCTTGGGGTGGGGGTGGAAGAGGGCAGCTGGGGTTGCAGTGACCAGATTGTCCCCCACCACAGAGCCTTCTGAGTTCTCATGTTCCAGGTGACTGGTTCTTAGGACATGTAATGACTTTAAGGTCCTGCTAGTCACAGCCCAAAATTCAGCTCTGTGGAATGTCTTTGACTCTCAGGAGGGAGGGAAGGTGTCAGCCCTTCCTTGTTTCGGGGCATCCTCCCTGCACATTCCTCATCCAGGGCCGAGGTTCCGGGTTACCCTTAGGGAGCCAGGGAGGGTGAAATCTCTGGCTTGGGGGGCAGGGGTTGTCACAGGTGGAGGGTGAATGGGGCTTCAAAGTGAGGAGGCCAGAAGCACTGCTGGCTGAGGAAGTGGCTCTGCCTGTGGGAAGTGGTAAGGCAGCGACCTCTAGGGGCCCCCTTCCCTCCATCCTGCAGCTCTCAGCTAGACAGGCAGTGCCCAGCCTGTTTGCTGGGTGGTAGCAAAATTCTTCTGCCTGGGGACATTTGGGGCCCACAGATGGTGATCTGTAGAAACCCTGACACCCTGGTCTGGACCCCTTGATTTAGAAGATGATAACAGTGATAAAGATGGGACCTGAGGGTAAGGGCCCCCTGGCCTGGGGTACGTGCAGGGTTGGGTGCCTGGCCTAGCCCCTCATGGGGTTCTTAGTGTCTCTCCAGGGAAGCGGCTCCTTGGGCTGGTCCCCTTGAGCTTCCTCCATGGCAGGAAGGAGGAGCCAGGCCCCTGCCCCAGTGGGCGTCCAGCCTTGAGTCCTCCGCAGGGCCTCAGTAGGACTGCAGGTCTAAACCGGCCCCTTGTAGTGTTGTGGGAGAATGAAGCACCAAGGTTCAAGCAGGAATCTGCTTTGAGAACCCATAATTTTTTGCCAAGGTGGGTTTGTCTGGGCTTGTGCCTTTCTGCCACAATCAGGGCCGCAGTGGTCACGTCCAGGTGGCAGGACAATGGGAAATTGGTAGGAGGCAGGGCTCTCGAGATCCCCTCTTCTCTCCCTCCCCACAAGGCCACAGCCATACTTGCTGCCCCTTGAATTGGTGTGAGCTCAGTTCCTGGTCTGCGCTTTGTCAAGCAGGAAAAGAGCTGCTGCTTTGGGCATAGGCACTGGGCTCAGCCCCTGACTGCTTGTCACCCCGCTGGGCCTGTTTCCCTGGCAGGAGGCCAGTGGCCAGGGGGGGTGGGAAGTGCTCAGTGTGTAGGTGGGATGGTTGGAACAACCCGACCATTGAGGATGGGAAGGTGGCGGGAGGCCGGGCATGAGCCTGGGGCAGAAGCCGGGGTGTCCATGGAGCCGTGGGCCTGGCCCTTGGGACGGGATGGGCCGGGCCTCCCACGCCTCTCTCCTGGTGCAGGCATCTTCCTGAGGGAGAAGGCTTGTGTGAATCTGTTGGGAGGGTGGGTCCCTCCCGTCTCGCCCAACCTGCAGTGAGCTTTCCTTTCATCAAGGAGAGAGGGACCTGGACAACTTGGTCTGGGATGGGCCAGGCCTTGCCTCTTGCTCCATCAGGGAGACAAACCCACACTGCGTCCAGACCTTAGTCGCCTGTTGTCCCAGGTACCAGGGCTGGAATCTTCACCCCTGTGGCTGAGGAGCATTTGCCAGGGTGTCCAGTGTTCGTCTTTGTGTGGCTAGGGCCACGTCAGAGTTGGCCTCGTGCTTTGTCACAGTGCATTGGCTGTGGCTGTGGGTCCTTGCCTGGCCTATTCTGTGCCTTCAGTGCAGTTCTTGGGCTGTGTTTGTTCATCTAAAGATGGCGACAGGCCCCTGCCCCCCTCCAGAGCTGTGCTTTAGGGTCAGAGGCCAGGAGCAGTGGGCTCTGGTCAGCCCATGTCATCCCCGGCCCTGGAGGGCCTTGATTGCCGTGGGCTGAGATAGTGGCAGCTGTGGAATGTTTGCTGTCCTTCCCTGTCATCTGCAGGCGGAGGTGGACGGCTTTGTAGAGGCTAAGTGTGTCCTCCCAGCCAGCCAGGGGCCCTGGCCAAAGTGCTTTTCTGAATCAGGCAGGAAAGTGGGAAACTGGTTCAGTCTTCAGGGCCCAGCCCCAGCCCCAGGCTGGTTTACTCAGAGGTCACCCAGTGCACAGCTTCAGAGGGGGCCAGGCGGGGTCAGAGCTAGGTATTGGGGGCCAGGAGGGGTGTGGAGAGCTGGCACAGCTAAGATACCGAAGTCGTCCCAGCTGCGCCTCTCCCTGCTTCCCGCTCATCTCATTCCTCAGGTGCTACTTTGTAACGTGAATTGAAAATGGGTCAGGTCCTGGCGAGGGAGGGGCTGCAGACAGGCTGACGCTGTGCTCTCCGGCCCTGGAGCACAGGGCTCAGGTTCCCATCTTGTGTTCTTGGAACCAAGAGGTGCCCTGGAGGCCTGGCAGTGGCGTCTGGTCCCCTCCCTGCCATGGCTCACTGGAGTGGGCAGCCTGGGCGCCTTGCCCACCTGCCACCCCCCCGGCCAAGCTGCGGAAGTGGATGCCAAGGCAGGCTGGCTCGAACATGGCAGGCAGCCAGGCCTGGGGACGGTACAGAGTGGGCTGAGTGATGGGGCTTTTGCCCCAGGCTGCAGACCCTGAGCAGGTGGCCTGAGCAGGTGTGTGACTAGTGCCTGTCTGTTTGCAATAGCCCTGACCCTCTAACTGCGCCCCGTGAGCCACCAAGACTGAACCAGGGTGGGGAAGCGGCACCACCAGCCACCAAGCCAGCCTTGCGGAGGCAGAGCCCCTGGAGCAGTGACAACGTGGGAGATCTTCTGGCGCGGGGGAAGGGGAGGAAAGAGGAAAACAAAGGCGAGCAGCCTAGTGCTGCCCTCCCTGCGCCTGCCTGCGATGTGTCAGTCGGAGGCGCGGCGAGGACCAGAGCTCCGTGCCGTGAAATGGTGAGATGCTGCCCACTGTGTCCTAACCCCACTGTGTACCCCACCATAACCTCCGGAAGGTCAGAGTTCACATCCAGCGGCCCCAAAGTGGAGGTAGTGGCAGGGTGTTCCGGGGGCTAGCCCCCGAGGCTGGAGGGGCCAAGCTTGAGGGACTGGAGAGCCTGCTTCAGGTACCTGCAGTTTCTGCCCCCAGGAGCGCCCCGTGGGGGGTGGCGACAGTGGGCTTCAAGACACAAACAAGTCTGACGTTTCTTCCTCTGGTGCTCCTGGGCTCCCCCTGGCACCCCCAGATCTCTGCCTCCTGGGAGAGGCTTCCCCATCCCCCTTGTGCTAGCCTGAGGGTGCAGCTCTTCTGGGATTGGTCCCCACTCTCTGCAGTGAGCAGGGTGGGTGGGGAAGCCCTAGGAGAGCAGTCATTTGTCTCTCCTTGGCCTCTGCCATCTTCCCAGACCGTTTAAACAGGCAGGCTTGATGGGAGAGAAGGCGGCATCTGGGGACCTGTGGGGACGTGTCTGGGGCGCTGAGCCCTGCCTTGCACTGCAGCTGACCTCTGTCTGCTCTGCTCTCACTATCAGCTGAGACGCCTCTTTGTCCCTAGGTTTGCTTAGCAACCGAGAGACAGAGGATCCAGCTTCTCTTGAGAGCACGGTTCCAGATGGCAGCCGTAGATTATCTAGTCGAAGGCAGTCACTTTGTAGATAAGGAAACTGAGTCTGGGCATATTCTCAGGTTGGGTGGCAACTTGCTCTCCTGATGGCTACACTGGGGCCTCAGGAGCATTTTCCAGGGCCTCCTCATGGGACAGTGCACCAGGTCTAGGGCCTGGTTTGGGCTCCAGAGGCCAGGGTTCTGGTAGCGAGGCCCATCCCAGCCTCTGTGACTCCCGTGAAGCTGAGCCTGTGCTGAACACTGGATCTGTGCTGGGAGGGTTGGGGAGAGGCCACCCCCTTTGCTGAAAGGAGGGCCGGGTCAGGGGTGTGGCCCCAGCAGAGCAGGGCGGGGAGGTGCTGGAGCCTGACCGGCTGCGGGTGACGGCCTGTTGCTGTCGGGGGTGTGTCTGAGTGCTTCCTTCCAGATCTTGTCCAGCCCAGTCCCTTAATTTAGTAGATGAAGAAATAAGAGGCCTAGAGCCATGAAGAGAGGCTCCTGGTCCTGCAGAGGGATGGTAGTGAGAGTTTCGCTGCCCGGGGCGCAGCTCTGCAGTGCTGTGTGCCGCCAGGGCTCAGGGCCGAGCTGGCCGCGGAGGCTGGGGCGCGAGGCAGGCTGTGCCTTCCCCTGCTGGGCCCAGGCGGGCTTGGCCCTGGAGGCCCTCGCTGGGGCCCCTTCCTGCTCTGAAGCTGCGCCATCTGAGCAGTGCCCAGGAGCTGGGCCTCACTCCTCTGTCTTGGCTGCCCCTGCATTCCCAGTCCTCCCAGCTGCTGGCAGGCGGGAGAGACTGGGAGGGGAGTCTACCAGCTGGGGACAGCCAAGCCCTGGGCTCAGAATGGGGTTGGGACGTGGTGCAGCCAGTGCTTGTAGGACTCTGTCACCCCACTGGCAAGGCAGCTGGTGTGGGGGGGCGGGTGGACAGGAGGGGCCCTCCTGGGTCCCCCCAGATTGTGGCCACTGACCCTGGCTGTGCGTGGTCGTGTGCCCCACAGGTTGCAGTTCCCCCAGCTGGCCCTGAGGCGGAGGCTGGGGCAGTTGAGCTGTATGTCCAGACCCGCCCTGATACTGCGCTCCTGGCCCCTGACTGTCCTCTACTACCTCCTGCCCTTTGGTGCCCTCAGCCCGCTCAGCCGGGTGGGATGGAGGCCCGTGAGCAGGGTAAGTATGCACGGCCCCAGCCCTCCCCCAGGGTGGGCCTGAGGCATAGGCAGCACTGAGGAAACGAGTTGTCAGTGACAGAGGTGGTGGCTGCGTCCTTGTGGGTGGGTGTCAGAGGGGTCATTGGGAGGCCACGGCAGCTTTTGAGAAGGTAAGGCTTGTTGGTGGCCATGCAGGCCACAAAGAAGTGACTGTGAGGACTCGCCGTGCACTGCCTGCTCTCCTTGCCTGTCCTTCTGGGGCTCTGGTCCTGGAAGGAACCCACGCTGGGGATTCAGAGAATGGCGTCTGTCTCTGACTTTCTGTGTTCAGGCAGAAGGGAGCTAAGAGGTGATTTTGAGAAAAGTCCAAATTAATTCCTGAAGCCAAAGGTGGTTCAGGGCTGGTGTGCCTGTTTGGACCCTGATGGGGAGGACCCTTGAGGACCTGGAAGGCCACACAGGAGGTGGCTGCCTCACGACTGGGCAAGGGAGCTGACCTGGCCAGTCCTAGTGCCCAGAGGCTCAGTCGTGCACTCAGCGTCCTGGGCAGGCTGACCCCAAGGAGCAAAACCCTATTCCTGGGCCTTTGACAGCCCAAGTGGGTGTCACAAGAGCTTAAGGGCACCAAGGCACACTGGACGTTAGACCAGGCTCCAGCCAGTGCCTGGCTGCACAGAGCCTTCCAGGTGGCTGGACATTAGCTGGGCTGTGGACTTGTTCTAGGTACCTCGGAATCTTTTCCTTCCCCTAGAAGTCTGGAATGTGGGCAGTGAGCTGGGACAAGGGCACGATGCCCACTGCCTCCTGCCACACGCTGTGACACTGTGGCTAGGGTCAGGTCCATTCACATCTCCCCACCCCTTCAAGCAGTAAGACTGTGCTGGCCAGTCTACCACTCTGGGGTTGGGGGAGTTGCTATCTGACCTTTGCATGAAATGACTAAAATGACCTGAGTTGTATGTAAATCCTCATTTTGAGAGAATAGGTGGCAAGTGCAATTCTGGTTCCTAATGAGAAATAGCCGTATCACAAAACCAGTGTGGGGTGCCTAGGCCTGGTGGCTTCTGTTGGGCTCAAGTCCTCTCCTGTGGTGGGGGTGGGCTCTTCGGAGCCGGGGGCAATATGGCCAAGTCAGACCCCGTCCTCTGGCCTGCAGGTGACCCTGTACAAGTCGGTGCCAACGCGTTTGCTGTCTCGGGCCTGGGGCCGCCTCAACCAGGTGGAGCTGCCGTACTGGCTGCGCAGGCCCGTCTACAGCCTGTACATCTGGACCTTCGGGGTGAACATGAAGGAGGCCGCCGTGGAGGATCTGCACCACTACCGCAACCTCAGCGAGTTCTTCCGGCGCAAGCTGAAGCCGCAGGCCCGGCCGGTCTGCGGCCTGCACAGTGTGGTGAGGCGCGACCCTCTCCTCCCTTCCTCCTGTGGGGAACGGGGTCTCCTGCCCGTCTTGGGAGCCAGGCCTGGGAGGTGGGCATCTCCCCCCCATCTCCGGCTGCCCATCTCCAGCATGTCTGTCGGGGGCGGGGCTCTGGGGGACTCAGCAGATGACAAGGTAGGGGCTGTCTCCTAGGGGAGGAGACACGCTCCCTCCCAGCAGCCTCTCCTGGTGCTTCCAGATCAGCCCTTCGGATGGGAAGATCCTCAACTTCGGGCAGGTGAAGAACTGCGAGGTGGAGCAGGTGAAAGGGGTCACCTACTCCCTGGAGTCGTTCCTGGGCCCGCGCGCCTGCACGGAGGACCTGCCCTTCCCACCAGGTGGGTGGCTGCAGACGGAGCCAGGGCAGCCCTGCTGCTGTTGCTGGGCCAGGTGTCAGAGGGCTCTGGGAGGCACGTGGGGCAGGGAAGGCCCAGGCACTGAGTGCTGGCACCAGAGCTTCGGCGCTCCTAGGTGTCTAGCAGCCGTGTCCAGACTGTGCACAGGCTCTGTCCTGGAGCTTGTCTGAGAGTGTGGCCCTTGGGCCTTCCCCTTCCCCACAGCCACCTCATGTGACTCCTTCAAGAACCAGCTGGTCACTCAGGAAGGGAACGAGCTCTACCACTGTGTCATCTACTTGGCCCCCGGGGACTACCACTGCTTCCACTCCCCCACTGACTGGACCGTTTCTCACCGGCGACACTTCCCAGGTAGGCCCAGGGCCAGCAGGTGGGTGGGAGCTGCCCTGGGGGCTTCCGACAGAGGCTCTCCGCTTCTTGGTGTCAAGAGACCAGGCTCCAGATTGGGGTGGTTGAGGCCAGGAGTTGACTCCTTCAGGCAGGCTGGTCCTGAACAGGGGACCTGCGGTCCAGCCTGCTCTGCATTTGGAGTGACATTGAGGTGACAGGTCACCTGTCCCTCTGGTTATGGCTCTGAATGGGGAGTAGCAGAGGTTCTTGCCCCCACAGGCTCCCTGATGTCCGTGAACCCTGGCATGGCTCGCTGGATCAAAGAGCTCTTCTGCCACAACGAGCGGGTAGTCCTGACCGGGGACTGGAAACACGGCTTCTTCTCGCTGACGGCCGTGGGGGCCACCAACGTGGGCTCTATTCGCATCTACTTTGATCGGGTGAGCAGGACCCAGGTCCGCACACCTCCCTGCTGGGCGGCGGATCCACTAGGACTGTAAATTGTGTGAGGGTCATGCCTCTGGCCAGGCCTGTGGAGGGGCCACCCCTACCAGCTGAGACTTCCCTCCCACTTTGCTGCCATTTGCACCTTAACTGGGGTGGCTGGAAGAGAGGGAGGCACTTAACCTACCCGCCTGGCACTTGGCTTCTGCCAGGAACCATGGTCAAAGGAGAGAGTGAGCAGGAAGAGAAAGGGAGCATGGAGCCTGGGGTGGGCCATGTGGAGGGCAGAGCGTGTGGGAAGCGGGCCAGTGCACGCGGAGCCTGCTGCCCACCCTGCACGTGGGGGCTGCCTTTTTGGGTATCAATTTCTGGACCATGGCCCCTGGCTCCCGGTCTCATAGTACCCTTCATGCTGGGAGAACAGCTGGTCAGTCTGGTTTCTGTCCTCCTGGGCCCAGTTCACAGGTGGTGGCTGTGTGTGATCCAGCTAGACCAAGCCCCACTGGCCTTTTGGAGCTGGGTTGGGTGGTGGTGGGAACAAGCAGCAGAGGAGGGAGTAGGACCCAAGCACAGGTGGGGGTGGCACTCTGACCCACGGCCTCCCACCACAGGACCTGCACACGAACAGCCCGCGGTACAGCAAGGGCTCCTACAACGACTTCAGCTTCGTGACGCACACCAACAAGGAAGGTGTCCCCATGCGCAAGGGCGAGCACCTGGGCGAGTTCAACCTGGGCTCTACCATCGTGCTCATCTTCGAGGCCCCCAAAGACTTCAACTTCCAGCTGAAAGCAGGACAGAAGATCCGTTTTGGGGAGCCTCTGGGCTCTCTCTAGAGCCTCCTCATGGCTGTGGCTGCTGAGGGCCTTTTCCAAACAGAATGTGAGAGTCTCTTAGAGGCGAAATGCCACGAGGCCATCGGGTGGGGGGATCTGAGCAGGTAGAACTGGAATGATTCCACCCCACCTGTCCCAGAGGTGCAGACAGGAGGTTCTGGATCCTTCCCGTGAGGTGGTCTGAGCCCCTGCCATGCCCTCAACCTGCGCTGTTCCCTCCCCCGATACCCTACAAAGAAAGAAAAAGTGCAGGCTGGTGCGATCTCAGAATCCCTTCTGGATCTCTCTCAACACCGTATAAACCGGAGACCCGCTGAGCATCCAGTCGGTCCACTGTCATTCCAAGGTGATGAGTGGTGACCATGTACTGTCTTGTTGGTCTGCTCCTCCCCTCAGCTGGGCCATTTTCTGTCGGCCCCTTTTGCTTTTTTTGGCCTTAACCCTCTGCCTTCCCCTGCACAGGGTGAGGTGCCTCCTTGGCACGGACTGTGGACACTGCCCCCGCACGGGGCCACACGGCCTTCGTGACAACCACTTTCTCTTCCCAAATTCACCTCATTCGGCTTGTTGGAAAAAGCAGAATCTCTCTTTGCACTTATAGCTGAATGCATCACCTTGAACCTGCGGTGTCTTCTGAGGACAGTGACTTATGACGTAGACCTTTGCTGGTCCTCATGACCGGCCTTCTGGAGCTGGCCGAGTCCTTTCTGTGGCAGGCAGGCGGCCCCTCCCTGTATCCAGCCCCACATGAAACGTGGGGCAGCTGCTGCTGTGGAGGAGCCTCTGGCAGAGGGATCAGTGCCTAGGAACCCTGTCCCCAAGTGCTCAGGCCGTGGGGAGCCCCTGAGGGTGGGGACAGGCCAGATTTCATACTGATTCTAGGGACACCGTGGATTTCTCCTGCAGGAGAAGTCATGGAACTCTTTCAACTGTATCAGTAGCACAGTATTTTTGTATGAAAAGTGGGAGACTTCTGAACAGTAATTCATTTAATTGCAAAACATTTTGAAATAAAAAGCTAAAACTCAGTGTAGCTTTGCATTCTGTTCCCGAAGGTGGCCTGAGGCCTCCCTGGGGCGAGCGCTCTAGCACAGGCTCCGCCGCAGGGCCTGGATGCGGGCGACGCAGGCGCGGATGGGCTGTCGCTGCGCCTGGAGCTCCTCGGCCAGCTGCTGGATCTGCAGCTCCACCTGGGGGTGGGACAGTCGGGGCTGAGAGGCAGCACAGCCAGGTGGGCACGGGGGCAGCCTGGGGCCTCACCTCCTCGAGTTCTTGCTGCACCTGCAGCTCCACCTCCCGGTCCTCGGGCCTGGGCTCCTCTCGGCTCAGCTCCAGCCACCTGCGCAGGCTGCTCGCTTGCCGCTGACAGGACCTGAGGGGTGGAGACACCTGCTGCCTGCCAGGCCGGGTTCTGAGGGTTCTGAGCGGGGACCCCCTGGCTTGAGGGAAAGCAGGTCAGCTGATTCTGGTGTGAGGAGCGGGTGGAGAGAGGGGTGTGTTGGGCAGGGCGCCCTGAGCTGCAGGCATGAATTCTTGTTCCTCTCCCAGCCTCCACCTCCCCAGCAAACAGCAACTCGGGTGAGCCCAGGTGAAAGCACCCCCTTCCCCTGTGCAGAGCTGGGGCTGAGGGTACCAGGCTGTTTCCTCGATTCGCTGAGACACCGGTGCAGCTGGGGGCCCGGGCCTGTCCTCCACGCCTTGTAACAGCGGCGTTACAATCACTGGGTAGGTAGCCTGACCCGAGCAGGTTTTTATAGTTTTGCTTTCTCACGCCCCCATGGAAAAAAGCAGGGCCTCTGTCCCAGGTGGGCCTTGCTACACAGGACTGAGCAGGATGAAGGTGCTGCAGTGGAGGGGGTGGTGGTTCTGGCCAGCACGCGTGGAGGGCTCCTGTCCCCAGCTGGTGGACCACCCCCAGGATCCCGGCAGCTGGCTCAGGGTAGATGGAACTCCCGCCTTTCCAGGCAACACCTGGTGTGTTGCCAGGTGCACGGCCACTGCCCACGCCTTACCAGAGGTTCTGCTTGGTGGCCTGGTAGTGCTGTAACTGCTGCTGGATCCCCTCGAGCTCGGCCTCAAGGTCCACACAGCCTGTGACAACAGGACACTGAGCTTGACCATCTTCCCCTCTGGGACCTGGGGGTTCACTGCCCTGACAGGCCCCAGCCACACACCTGCAGTTTCAGGGCCAGGCCCAGCCCTGGTGTCAGTGAAGTCCCCAGGGAGAAGCAGATAGGGGTCAGGGCCTGCGGCCAAGGATGGGGGGGCCTGAGGCTTCAGCTTGGGGGTGGTCGCCAGAGCTGACGCCTGTAAAGGAAGAAATGAGGGATGCTGAGCAGGGAAGCCAGGAGGAAGCCCCGGGAGAGAGGCACTGAGTCCTGGTCACCCTTTGTCTCACCACCTGCCCAGTCCCCAGTCCCTGGAGCTGGGCTTCCTGGGCACCCAGTGAAGCAACCCAAGGAGCAGCTGTCCCAGCCGTTCCAGGCCTTCCTGAGCCCCACCCACTCCTTGCTCTGAGCTCAGGACCTTGCTCAGCTCGAACTTACTTCAGTGACAAAAGGGTCAGGCAGAGGCAACTGCTCCCGCTGTCCAACCCCACTCCTGCAGCCTCCTCCCCTGGGGAGACTGCACGCCCTGGCACCGCCAGTGGCAGGTACAGACCCCGCTCAACCCCACTCCAGCCAGGGTGTGTGGCTCCACGTGGCCACACTCACAGGAGCTGCCTCCTTCCTGCCCACACCCTTGCAGGCCCCAGCATTCTGGGTGGCCCAACTGTGGCCGTCACCATTACTACTGAACTCTCCCCACCCGTCTCTGCCCAGGCTCCTCCCCAGGGAGCCTTGGCCCCCCTGGCCTCTCTATACCTTCCTCCCAGGTGACCTCATGGGTTCCCAGGGGGTTAACCTTCAACCTGTGCTGAGGATTCTCAGTCTGCCTCTGGCCCTACTTTTTCCCCCGAGGGCCAGACTCAATGCTGCTGCTCTCTCAAATCTGACCGCTTCAAAATGGGCTCTGTGTTTTTACCTAAACCCCATCCCACCCCTCGTTTTCCTTCTTTCTGTAAAAGAACTCATCGTTCCCAAAGTTATTCAAGCCAGAAACCCAAGAGCCATCCCGGATCCCTCCTTCCCTTCATTCTCGGCAAACCCATCAGAGCGAGTCGAGCAGCGCCCGTCCACCTCCACAGCCGCTGCACGCACGGGGCGGGCCGTGTTAGGAGCCAGGCACGGTGCTCCCTGCCAGAACGTCCACGATTTCCTGCTCAGATTCCAAACTTCTCCCCATGCCTGCACGAGCCTATGTGACCTGCAGTCACTTCACTGTCTGCACACAGCGGATTCCTTTCGACCGTCTCTGCCTATGCTCTAAGCTTCACGAGGGCAGGGGCTCAGCAGGCCGACCGCGGCTGTGCCCTCGCCCCTGGCGTGCAGTGGGCACCTGCACCTGACCGGGTGAGTGGCCTGCTTGTCTCCCTGTGCCAAAGTGTTCCAGAAACCATGAGTACAGCTGTGGCTACGGAGCTGAGTGCACCGGAAAGGGCACAGGCCAGGCTGAGGAATGGCAGCCCCAGTGGCCAGGCCTGGTTGAGGACGACTCACCCTGGCCGGTGCTTCCGCCCCACGGGGCATGAAGGAGGAAGGAGGCAGCAGCAGCTCCGGGCCTGTACTTGCTGTGGGGGGCAGCTTTGGGCCAGGAACACCTGAGAGGGCCCCAGGCAGGGGGGTGCTGGGGACCAGTGCTTTTGGGGCCTCTGCCAGGGTGGCTCTCAGCAGGAAAGGGCCTGCCGGTGGGGTCGTGCTCAGGCCACACTCCTGCAGCTTTTCAGGCCTGAGCAGAAGGAAGGCAGAGCCCAGTCAGGACATGGACCCTACTCTGCGACCAAGGAACAGGAAGGAGAGGGAGCCACCCACCCTAGGGCCACCAAAACACAGGCTGCTTTGGGGGCCCATGACCACACGGCCTACCCCTGCCTCTGGAGGAGGCCGCGCCCCAGGGACCACTGGCTCTGCACGGGCTCCAGCAGAAAGTGCGGGCGTCGCGGCTGCTTCCTCGCTGAGCAGGCAGCACTGCTGGGAGGAAGCACAGAGTCTGTCCCTTTAGGGTGACCAGGGCTGCAGGGGCCCCAGATGTCTGTGGGTGGGGGCCGTCCAGTCCCACCCTCCAGTTCTCCAAGGAGCCCTGAAGGCCAGAGGCGGCGCAGCTCTGCCCACGGTCAGCAGCTGGGGTGGACCTGGGCCACGGAGGGCGCCTGATGCCACAGGGCTGCTTCGCCCAGGTTGTCTTTTGACCTGTGCAGCAGCCCTGGCGATGACGTGTGGCCCCCATCACGGCGGAGCAGCCTCTGAGCCACCCCGGCTCCTGTCGAGGTCACGCAGTATGGGGCAGAGCAGGGACTGGGTCCCGGGCCAGCCACTCTGGGGGCTGCCAGCTACCTCAGCACCGGGTGGGGGTGGGGCAGGGTTTGGGGAGACCACTGGGGGTAGGGGAAGAAGGGCAAGTGCCAGGTCACAAAAAGAGGTGTTTCTGACAGGGAGCTAGTGTCTTGGCTGTATGGAAGACGGAAACAGCTGCCTACAGCTTGTTCCCTTTGTCAACTACATGTATCGCTGTGAAAAAGACTGAGCAGTAAGGACAGGCGGGAGAGGGCAGGAAGGTGTGGCAGAGGAAGGGACACCACTTCCTGGGCCTTGGCAGGCAGAGGAGAAAGAGAGTCTGGAAACCCCACTCCGTTCTCCCCCTGCCCCGGGAGGGGCGGGATCTGCTCAGCTGTGACAAGGCCATGCCTGGCCACATCAGGACTGGGCCCATCAGGACTGGGCTTTCCTCCCTGCTGTACCATCCACGCTTTTGTCCCAGGTGGGAGGGAGGAAGAGGTGAGGACGGACGACTCACAGCTCCGGGAGGTGCGGCTCCCCCGTGGCAAGGGCCAGGCTGCCCAGGGCTCCCCGAGGCTGAGGAGCTCGTGGCCTCTTGGTCTCCCTGGTGGCATCATCCCCAGCCCCAGCAACAGCTGGGTCGAGAAGGGGACCCTCAAACGTCACTCTCCTGCTAGGCACGATGGGTGCTGGGGGCCGAGGCTCCCTGCCGCAGCCCAGCACCTTCTGTTTCCAGAGCGTGGCGCAGTGGCGGACGGCGCGGTGGAGCTTGTGGGCTGCCTGTGACAGGGCCTCGTCAGCGGCCGCGGGACCCGCCCGCTCCCCACAGGCAGGGTGGGCGCCCCGGGCCTACCTGGACCTGCTGCTGGGCCTGCAGCTGCTGCCGGGAGGCCTTCGTGGCCGCCGCGAAGCGCAGGAGGCATGCGGCGCCCTCGGCGAGGAGCTGCCGGTGGTGGGCCTGCGCCGCCCGCTCCAGCCGCGCCTTCTTCCTCCTCCTCTCCTGCACGAAGCCCAGCCACGCGGCCCACGCCTCCAGGGAGGGCAGGGGTGAGCCGGGTGAGCCGGGCCTGCCTGCCTGGGCTCCCCCAGGGGCTCTGCCCACCGCCCACCCCGGCAGCCGCAGCAAGACGCAGAGCCCGTTACCTTTGCCTGCAGCGAGAAGGCCCAGAACCACAGGGCGCGCGCCGTGGCCTGCTGCTCCCGCCTTCTGGCCGCCAGCTGGGGCCAGAAAGACCAGTCACTTCCCCGCTTCCCTGTCACCTCTTTAGGGAGACCGTCCTGAGGTCTCCCTAGGGCCAGGCTAGCTGCCTGGCTCATCAGGCTCCCCTCCCTCCACCAGGAGGGATCCGTACGCTGACGTGTGGACCGAGGAAGAGCCTTTAGAAAAAAGGATCCTGGGGGACACGTGGTGGCAGCGGGCTGGGGTGGCACGCCCAGGAGCCGGGCGAAGGGCCGGGCTGGGGGCGCTGCTGTGTGTGATGTATGAGACCCCCCAGGCTTTTTATCAAGGCCTTGGCCCAAACTTAACATGGACTTCATATTAATTTTTTTTTTTTTTTTTTGAGACAGAGTCTCACTTTGTTGTCCAGGCTAGAGTGAGTGCCGTGGCGTCAGCCTAGCTCACAGCAACCTCAAACTCCTGGGCTTGAGTGATCCTTCTGCCTCAGCCTCCCGAGTAGCTGGGACTACAGGCATGCGCCACCATGCCCGGCTAATTTTTTATATATATATCAGTTGGCCAATTAATTTCTTTCTATTTATAGTAGAGACGGGGTCTCGCTCTTGCTCAGGCTGGTTTTGAACTCCTGACCTTGAGCAATCTGCCCGCCTCGGCCTCCCAAGAGCTAGGATTACAGGCGTGAGCCACAGCGCCCGGCCCATATTAATTTTTGGATATTATACTGTTGTATTTTTAACGTGACACTGCCCACTTTAAACTGGGCACTGAAGTGACTGGCCTCGTACAGGTCGCAGATGGGAGGCGGCTGGTGCCAGGAAGTGCCTAGAGCGGGGAGAGGGAGGTGCCCCGGGACAGGGCGATATGAGAGATACTGAAGGAGAGGTGTGGGCTGAAGGTCACCCACAGCCTGGGCCTCAGGAGCCAGCGGGAGGGAAGCGGGGAAGGGACATCTAGGGGGCTCCCACCTGCTGTCTCCACTGGTGGAAGCAGGCCCGGCGGAGTCTCCATGCCAGGAGCTGGGCGCCCTGCCACTGCAGGAGCTGGGGAGAGAGCAAGTGCTCAGGGAGCTGCGTCCCCATGTCCTGTCACCACGGTGAGTGTCTAACCCAGACTGCTTGGGGGCAGCCACAGGGTAAGGCTCCTGGCCTAAGTGGACTGTCCTCCCACTGCCGGGAGTCCTGGGTGATGGATGCCCAGGGCCCCCCGCACAGGCAGGGGTGTCTAGACGACTCCCCAGGTGCCCGGCTCCGATAAGCCGCGGGTCGGCGGGGCCAGTTTCCCTGCTGAGCCGTCTTCCCCGGGGAGACCCGGGTCCGAGGCTGGCTACCCCCCCCCCAGTCTCCAATAAAGACCCAGAAAGGCCCCCGCGGCTTGTTCCTGCGGGACCCCAAGCCGCCCACCACCCACAGCAGCTGCGCGATTCTGTCAGCAGAGACCCCTTCCTAAGAGGTGTCTCCTGGCCTGGACGCCCCGCGCCACACAGGGGACTTGGAAAGTTGCCACCAGCGGCCTCACCCTTTTCCTGACACACCCCAGATGGTGCGTCTTCCATCCGGCCACGGCCCCCAGCAGCAGCTGCCGGTGGTGGTGGCGCGCCGCCCTCTCCAGCTGGACCTTCTGCCGCGCCACCCTCCGGCCGCGGTCCCGCCAGCGCCGAAACCAGGTCCGGAGACAGCCTGGGGCAGACGTGAGCCAGAGTGTGCCCTTCCAGGGTCCCAGGAGACCACGTCACGGTAGATGTTCCCAGAGCGGAGGAGGTTGTGTGCGGATGGGGTTGGGGTGCCCAGCCCACACGTGGTGGCCTCTCCAGGGACAGTGCCTGGGGCCAGGAACCAGATCTATTGACTGCTGTGCTCCCCAAGGGCCCTCCTGGCGCCACCTGCCTGTCCATGCCATCACGGGCGTGCCAGGGGGTGCCTGCAGAGCCACATGCAAGACGCTGCCGGGCACACGAAGACCCTCCTCTGAGGGAGAAAGGGGCCTGGCGCTTGAGCTGCAGCCGAGAGGGGAGCAGGAGGGAGGCGCTCCCCCCGGGCTGCCAAAGTGTACCTGAGACTCCGGCACCTTAATGTAAGCCCAGAAATCATCCCACAGGCGCGTGTGTCCCTACTGCGTGCAGTGTCTTGCCACCCAGGCTCCCAAGTCCCTCGCACCATCTGTAACGGACATGGCCACCCCGGGCCTGCCACATGCACCACCCCTTCTAAGGAAAAGTCCTTCACAGAGAAGGAGTTTCAGGCTGTACCTCAGACCTGTCACCTCTAACTGCCCCCGTGGCCAGAAGCCCTGCAGGGCCAGGAGCAGCAGCTCTGCCCGAGCAGAGGCCAAGGGCTGGGACGCCCTTTGGCTTCTTTCTCAGGCACGAGCTAGAAACACAGCAAACACAGCGTGCTGTCCCTGGACACCAGGCGATGTGTGCCCATCAACACGCACGCTACACTCAGAACCAAACCAGGGGCCGGGCGCAGTGGCTCACACCTGTAATCCTAGCACCCTGGGAGGCCGAGGCTGGCGGACTGCTCGAGGTCAGGAGTTCGAAACCAGCCTGACCAAGAGTGAGACCCCGTCCCTACTATAAATAGAAACAAATTAATTGGCCAACTAATATATGTAGAAAAAATTAGCCGGGCATAGTGGCACATGCCTGTAGTCCCAGCTACTTGGGAGGCTGAGGCAGCAGGATTGCTTGAGCCCAGGAGTTTGAGGTTGCTGTGAGCTAGGCTGACGCCACGGTACTCACTCTAGCCTGGGCAACAAAGCAAGACTCTGTCTCAAAAAAAAAAAAGAAAGAAAAAAGAACCAAACCAGGGTTAACTAATGTTTGTCCTGGAACAAACTCTACTATGCCAATGTGACAACTCGATTAATTTTCTCTGTAGTCCAACTTAAACTGTATCTACCATTTGTTTTCACTTTCCTTTGTATTTTCCTTTGTTCTAACTGCGAGCCGTCCCCTGCGGAATGTCGGATTCCGCCACGGGGGCCCCTGGGTTTCTTGCGTGTTGGCACCTGTGCGCAGAGGCACCGACTCCTGTTCTGGACTGTCTTTCCGAAGATGTTTATGCAGCGGGGAGGGGACTTCCTGAGGCCGCCTGGCCAGTGTTCGCTCTCTGAACATGCAGGGGCGCCGCTGCGCACGGAAGCAGGACCCTCACACCACGGGGCTGACCTGACACGCAGCAAGGCCTTTCCCATCAACGCCCCCCACCCCAACCACCCGGACTCCTCCATTCCAGGTCCATTCCTTCATTTCTCCACAGTTCTCAGCCTCGGCCCGTCACGTTAACATAAAGTGGGTGGCAATCAGTTGGGAACAGGTTTCTGTACTGTCCTGTCTCATTCCTGTCCTTCCCAGAACCTGGGCAAGTGGCCCTCACTTGGAAACAGGCTCGGTGCAGACGCAGTGAGGATGCTGTCCTACTGAAGGAGGGGGTGGGTCCTTATAAGGAGGGACCCAGGCACACAGGAAGAGGACGGCTTGTGAAGACAGAGGCAGAAATGAGAGTGATGTGTCTACAAGCCCAGGGAAGCGGAGCTTTGCCAGCAATGAACTGGAAGAGGTGAGGAAGGAGGGGGAGCACAGCCCTGCCCACACCTTGACTTTGGACTTCTGGCCTCCAGAACTGAGCATTAGAATGGTCTTTGTCGTGGCAGCCCCAGGGAACTGACCACGTGAGGAGGAGACAGAGACCACAGGGGAGCACGGGGATCTCCCAGATAGCTGCGTCTTCACGGTCTCCTCCCCACCCCCTTGCTTCCGGGGCCCTGCTTACCCCTGTCCAGCACCTTCCGGGCCTCCCTGATGGCACAGTCCTCCTGCTGTCGGTAGTAAATCTGCACTGACGCAGTCTCCCGCCACTGGGCCAGGACCTGCGAGCGGGCAAGGGGCAGGGCAGGGGTCACTACACCTCCTGATTTCCGGGACACCCCAGGTCTGTGGTGGCGGCTCCGTGGGAGGCGAGGCTGAGGGGTTGACGTTCGGCTCTCACACGTTCCAGGAGGCACCTGCCCCCCATGCACACCACTGGGCAGCAATGGGGGCGCCCCAGGCCGCTCACAGGAAACCCAGTATCTCAGGCACTGGGACTTTTCTAGCAGGACTTAAACTTCATACCGTGCCTTAAGGAAATTGTCATTACTCGAGCTTTGATTCTATTATTTGTTAAGTGGAACACATACACTGTATGTACTCTTGTATGGGAGATAACTATGAGAGAGAACATATGAAATCACAAAAACAAGGCTGGGTGAGGTGGCTCATGCCTGTAATCCCAGCACTTTGGGAGGCAGAGGTGGGAGGATCACTTGAGTCCAAGAGATCAAGACCAGCCTGGGCAACATAGCAAGACCTCATCTCTACAAAAAAAAGAAAAAGAAAAAGGAAGGAAGGGAAGAAGGGAAGAAAGGAAGGGAGGGAAGGAAGGAAAGAAATCACAAAAATAAAGCACTTAAAACACTTTAAAAAGAAGTCAGGCAGCCAGGGGAAGCCTGGTGCCTGCTCCCCAAAGAGTTATGAACTCCATTCCCACAAAAAATGCCTCCTCCCTTCCAGTCTTTGAAACAAGCAAAGACTCCCATCCTCTTCCTTCCAGGACAGGGGAGGCCTTGGAGTTTTCCCAAGAACAGACTGGGCTGTGAGCAGATACAATTGTTCTTTCTCCACTGGAAGGTTCCAGGTTGGTGGGCGGCCTTCCAGGGGGTGAGCCTTTGCGGCTCAGGGCTCCCAGCAAACCACCTTCTTCTAAAACATCGTGGATTCAGGAACTACCTGTTACTCATTTCTGTTTGAATCCCCTTTCTCCCCACGTTTTCTTCCCACAGCCACATCCTGCCACCCCTCCTGTCCGCAGCACATGGGACCAGGCCCACCACGTGGCACATCCCACAACCATCCCAGTCAAGGGGACAGGGTGGTGATTTGGGGACATTTCTCACGGAAGATGACCAGGACCTAATGTTCCCGGCTCTGTGCCTTCCAGAAAGCCTCTGCGGCCACGAACCCGTGAGGCGGGCGGGCAGGAGCGGGCATCTTCTCTGCACAGTTCGTCACAGTGGACACGCCCGTGTGTGTAGAAGACACTGGTTCTGATGAGAACTAGTTCCCTCGCTACGTGCCATGCTTTCATTTGAACACGTGTTGGTTCATAATTCAGGAAAAAGCAAACACCTGCCCACATGGATGTACGTACATGTGCACCACTGGCCACCCCTTGCCCCCAGCCCGTCCCCAGCCCTCCCAGGTGACCAGCCTGCCTCCCTGACCTCACCTTGGAACACATGGTCCTTCTATAGTGAGCACGGGCCAGGGAGGTTTTCCTGGCTTCATCCACACGGGCCACAGTGTGCTCCCTCCAGCGACGTAACACACCCCTGCAGGCACGCGGGCAGGGGGAGGGCAGATGACACCAGGATGGAGAGAGACGGGAGGCTCTGTGGGTCAGTCCTAGTGCCCCCCACGCCCAGCCAGGAGCCATCTACGTCTAGGCACATCTGCTTCGCCGACTCCCATGTTGACGTTTGCACCAGCGTCTACGTCCCACAAGCGGCTCCTGCGCAGCTGCTCAGGGCCACGCACTGGGTGAGCACGAGGGACTCGCAGGGCCTGAGGCCAAATGCCAGGTGCTCAGGAGTGGCTGTGCGGTGGGGAGACAGGGCGCAGCCAGGCAACGCCAGCACAGGCAGTCATGCTGTGATGGGGAAGCGTGGAGAGGGGAGCCGAGAAAGGGCGCCTGGCCCGGCTGCAGCTTGTGGCTGAGTGAGCTCAGGGAGTCCCTCTTTCTTACTCCACTGTGTGAAAAGCTGGATGGGCCATTAGGGGACCCCAGAGGAGGGACAGAGGTGTTTCAAGTCCCTGAGGCCCACATGCCACCCAGAATGGCATGTGCTGAAGAAATACAAAGGAAGGAAAAGAAAGGCAGGAGGCCTACCGGGGAGGGCGAGTTTAGAGCTCGCTGGAAGGAACGGAGGGGGCTACGCAGTGCCCGCCACTGGGGAGAGATGCCGCCGGTCTTACAGGGCTTAGAGCCAGTGCCTGGACGGGGACGGCCCAGGAAATGACAGGAAAGGAAGCTGCTCCAGCCTCTGGATTGGGCAAAGGTGCCTTAAGCAGCTGAGTCTCGCCAGGCTGCGGCAGGGAGGGAAGGGGGCCAGGGGGGCAAGGCCAGCGGCCGCACAGGCGTCCAGCTGCGAGTTGCTTGCCAAGGCCCCACTGCAGAGGTTGGAGACAAGCTGAGGTGAAGCAGTGACTGAAGTGCTTGTGGTGGAGAAGCCAAAATCAAGCTCTGAGCAGTATGAGGCACCGGGCCGTTCCCCACGTGGCCCTGAGCAAGAATCCCAGAACGCTGGGGCCTGAGTCTGTTCCTCATTCCTCAGCCTGGGCCCTGGAGACACTCGGGAGACTCACCGCAGCAGCTGCCGGTGGTGCTGGCTCTCCCTGGCTGCCACCTCCTGTAGGACACGCCGCATCCTGCCCTGATAAGTCTGTGGGGGACGAGGAGGACTGGAGGCCGCCCCTGGGCCCACACTTCTCCCCGTCCAGGTGGGCCTCAGAAGTGTTTTACGAAAGGGGCTGCCATGCCCAGAGCACTTAACAGGGCGGGGAAAGGCAGAAGCCCCCAGTCCCAAGGCCAGTGGACCCTCCCCGACAACAGGGAGGAGACTGTCTCGCTAGGCCCTCAGCAAATAAGCTGAACCACGGGGCTCGTGGCCAAGGAGCCGCTTTGACTGTAAGGCTGGTGCCCGCGGACAGCACGTGTTTTCGCTCTGCTGAGCCTGGACCAAGAAACCTGTGGCCCACGTGTGGGGCACGCGCTCTATCTGACGCTCGTCTAATTACTCTGAGAGGGGTAGGAGGAGCAAGGAAGGGAAACAAAGTCTCCAGAAACCTCCCCGGCCCACATAGCAAGTTCCAGAGGAAGAAGCAGCTCCTACCACCCACGTCCGCAGCGCCCTGTGCAGCAAGCGGCGCTGGCGATGCTGGTCTGCTAGCACCAGCTTCTGTCGCTCGGCCCCCCGCAGGGCCAGGCACTGCGGACAGAGAGAAAGAGGGCTAGGGGCTGGGGCTGGCGTGGGGCGTGGCTTCCCGCTGTGCCACCACGTATACTCCCTCATCTACACACGCACACTTCTTAGGGATCTTATGAGGATCAAATGAGGCAAGTGCCTCACTTACGGTAAATGCTCAATTAACATCATCAACATTTTTTTACCCTCAGTAGGATTCCTATAAATCGGGAATTTTTAGATTCAGTAAGTTCAGATAAGAACAGCCTAGCACCTAAAAGAATTTGGAGCCAATCATTTCACAAAACCGAGTTAACACTTCCTCGTTAGCTTCCTGGTCTCCAGCTCAGAGGCAAGTGGGTCCCAAGGGATGGCTGAGCGGCCTGTGTCCGCCTGCACTCATGCTGATACCCAGTCCCACCGGCCCAAAAGCCACACTTGGATGGCCTCCATGCCAAAGCCTTACCTCCCTCCACCGGTTCCAGGCCCAACGCAGGAGCCGCGCCGAGTGGAACTCTGCCGCCTGCGCCCTGCCCGTCCTCCTGCGGGAGACGCGGGCTCAGTACTGCAGCCCAGAGCCAGCGAGGCTGCTGTCCTGCGCACTGCCTGGTTGGTACGTCTGGGGGGAGTCAAGACCCTCTCTGAAGAGCTGCCAAAGGACTTGTGCTCTCTCCCAGAAAAGTGCACGTATGATCAAGTCTATGCCTACAACTTCACAGGGCCTCAAGTACCACTGAGGCACACTCATGTGCAGGCACGCTGGAGCCTCCCACCGAGGAGGAGGTCAACTGTGGGCAGAGTTTGAGATCCTCTGAACACACAGTGGGCACAGAAAGGTTCCAAAGCAGGATGGTCTCTGCAATGGACACATGGGCTGTCTGCCCCACACCCTGTAACCACGACCTGGTCCCAGGGTGCTCAGCTATCCTGGTCTACTCGCTGGCCGTGGTCCTTTCAAATGGGCCCCAGTTATTAGGCAGGCTATAGCCAATGGACAGAACCTCCTGGATCCACACAGCACTTCTGTCCCCAGCCAAGTTCCTGTAACTGGGAGCTCTATAAGGTATCCCAAGATCCTGTTGCTACAGCCTGGTCTTGCTTAGACTCCTTCAGGTTGACTTTCTAGAGCTTACAACCATATTCCCTGCGAATGCAAGCCCTGGACAGGCACTTGGTGACAGGCCGATGGTGCTATCACTTCAGTCAAAGCTGCCTGGGGTGGGAAGGGATTTTGAGGCAAGAGTTGGCCACTTACTCTGTTCTGAGCCCTTGAGCACCTTCCCTCCAGATGCAGAAGGCCTTCCTGAGCCTCCTGTGGCCGTGGTGGGCACAGGCCACCATTTGCCACTCCCGCTCCTGGTGACGTGCTGCTGCCTGCTGACACCACGTGGACCACGACCTACGCAGAAGCTGCCGCTCTGCTTGAAGGATGGCCTGAGGCAGGGTGGGAAGCAGAGAACAGAACAAATCAAGTAGAAGGAGGGTACAGAAGCCAGGAAAGAATCTACAGGCCACGAATAATGACCAAGGCAAAAGAGATGAACATTCAGGAGGTGCCCTGGCCCAGAAGCCATCCATAAACTCCACAGACACAGGACCCAGACGCCCCAGAGCCTGCCTCTGTCTCCCCAGTCCCAAGCAGAAGCCCTTCAGTGCGGGTCTGGGTTCTGTGCGACTTCCTGAGGAGGGGAAGAATGAGTGCCAGGGCTTGAAACACGTCCTGCCTTTCTAGGCACATCCCCAGGGACAGCCATTTACCATTCTCTCGGCTAAGCAGTCTTCTCGATGCACAAACATCTTCTGCCACCAGTGGGCAAATACCTGCTTCTCTAACGTCTTCCTAAAGGAAAGAAAAAGAAGAAGAAAAATGTGTAAAGCACTTAAAACAAACAAACAGAAAATACCAATGGAATGAAAAGTTCCAAATAATTGGGTTTTTCCTCTTATACTGTGCTATTGTGTCAGAGACGAATGAGCTCAGATGAAGCAGAAAGGACAGAGAAAGGGAAAGAAAGCAGCCAAGAGCCAAAAAACCACCAAACTCTGAGACCCTAGTTATTCATTCATTTGACATCAAATTAACACCACTGATCGGGGTCGTCTATGGAGGTCTACCCAGCGCACGCTGACCAGCCAGGCTGCTTCTACACCAATCCTTATTTAAAAACAAGGGCCCTTCAGATGGTATACTTGTCAGCCAAGAAAAGAAAAAAGAGAAAAAAAAAAAAAAAGGAAAAAAAAAATAAAAACAAGGGCCTTGGCTTGAGTGGAAATGGCCAAAAAAAATTAAAAAGGGAAAAAGTAAAAACAAGGCCCAGCCCCTAAGGCTGACTGAGCAGGCCCAGTGTGCCCCAGGAAACAGAATTATAAACTAGGGCTTTAGGTGAATTAGACAGGTAGATAGCTTTGGGAGCCACTGCTTTGTCACCTCTGCCTAGGCCTAGGCCTACCTGCTCACCATTAATGACATCAAATCCTGCAAAAGCACCGCTGGAACAGCTGATCAACAGCCACTAAGGGCTACATATTGACAAAGCCAGGACCAAATCCCCGCACTGGAAGATTTTGCTGCCCTGGCATTTGGCACATGAGACACATCACTCAAAACAAAGAAAATTCGACTTCTAGCTGTGACAGAGTCACAGGTCCTGGACCTGCCCTTCAGTCATACATTATAAAACTAGACAAAATATACATGGCAACTGTTTTCAGGTGATGTAACAGGCAATGTAGATTCTGCTGCTTGAGAGATGGGAAACATGCGAGGTGAGACTAGGCTGCCCAGGTTTTCTGCCTGGCAGTACTCTCCGGGCCGTGACGGGGAGGCAGGGAGGGAGGCCAAGTAGAGCATGATAATCTCATTGAGCTGAGGTGGCAAAGACTGCAGTTCAGGACGCTGCAGGGCCTGGGATGTGGGGAGGTAAGCAGAGGGGAATGCCCAGAATTCTCCCGAAGTTATCTCAGGTCTCAGGTGAGGGCTGCACATGCTGACTCCCTGAGGCCCAGCACAGTGACTGCTGCGGGGCTAAGAGTTGAAAAGAGACAGCAGAGGTTGGACAGAGCTGGGAGATGGAGTTCTGGCCCAGCCAGAACGGACAGACCATAAACAAAAGCTGAGATCATTCATCCCCAGTTGACCCGAGGTAAAGAAATGCTAAAAGACTTTCTTCAGGCTGAAGGGAAATGATACAGATGAAAACTCAAATTCACAGGAAGACACAAAACATACTGGAAATGGAAAATATTTGGGTAAATAAAAGACCGTATTTTTTCTTCTCTTAATTTTAAAAAGAATACCGACTGCTTAAAGCAAAAATAACATTGTACTTTGGGGGAAAATATATGTATTGCAGACATAAAATATATGACAAGAAATACTATCAAGGATGGGGAAGAAATGGAATTTTACTGTTTTATGTCCTTGCACTAAATATGAAATGGTATATTATTTCTAAATAGAATTGTAGTGAGTTAAGGATTCATATTATAATCCTAGGAACAGCAACTTTATTTTTTTAATTTTTTTTTGAAACAGAGTCTCATTCTGTTGCCCAGGCTAGAGTGCCGTGGCGTCAGCCTAGCTCACAGCAACCTCAAACTCCTGGGCTCAAGCAATCCTTCTGCCTCAGCCTCCCAGGTAGCTGGGACTACAGGCATGCGCCACCAGGCCTAGCTAATTTATATATATATTTAGTTGTCCAGCTAATTTCTTTCTATTTTTTAGTAGAGACGAGGTTTCACTCTTCCTCAGGCTGGTTTTGAACTCCTGACCTTGAGTGACCCTCTCGCCTTGGCCTCCCAGAGTGCTAGGATTACAGGTGTGAGGTACCGCACCCGGCCGAAACAGCAATGATACTTTAAAACTACAAATGATACAGAGCTGAAAAGTTAATGTAGGAAGTAAAATGGAATACTAAAATATTTTAAATGAACCCTAAACAAGACAGAAAAGGAAGAAGAAACAAAAGATGTAGATTTTAGCCCAATCATATCAGTGACTGTATTAAATATAAATGAACCAAACACTCCAAATAAAAGGGAGAGATTGTCGGAAGACAAAAAAATTAAGATGTAACTATATGTTGTTTTCAGGAGACATGCTTTATAAAATACGAAGATAATGATAAATTGAAAGTAAAAGAGTGAGGAAGTAAAAGAGAAGGAAAACACAATCAACATAAAAAAGCTGATGAGATATATTTAATATAAGTCAAAGTAGACTTTGAGAAAAGAAATATTTCATTTAAATAGGTTTATTTAATAACAATAGGTCAGGCGGAGTGGCTCACACCTGTAATCCTAGCACTCTGGGAGGCCTAGGCGATTGGATCACTCAAGGTCAGGAGTTCAAAACCAGCCTGAGCGAGAGCGAGACCCTGTCTCTACTAAAAAATAGAAAGAAATTAATTGGCCAACTAGAAATATATAGAAAAAATTAACCGGGCATGGTGGCCCATGCCTGTAGTCCCAGCTACTCGGGAGGCTGAGGCAGCAGGATTGCTTGAGCCCAGGAGTTTGAGGTTGCTGTGAGCTAGGCTGATGCCATGGCACTGTAGCCTGGGCAACAGAGTGAGACTCTGTCTAAAAAAAAATAAAAATAAAAATAAATAAAAACAATAAAAGGGGCAAATCATTAGGAAAACATTACAATCCTAAATGTATATGTACAAGCAACAAAGCTTCCAAACATATAAGGCAAAACTGACAGTGTTACTAAAAGAAATAGACAAATTCACAATCATAGTTGGAGATCTTTAGCACTGTTCTCTAGTAATTGACAGAACAAGTAAACAAACAAACAAAAATCTGCAAGGATATAGAAAATTTGAAGATGACTATCAACCAATAGATATTTATATATATATAACATAGTAGATATTAATAGAATATTACATCCATCAATTTTGGTGTAAACATTCTTTTTTTTTTTCTTTTTTGTAGACAGGGTCTCACTCTGTCTGGGAGATAGAGTGCAGTGGTATCATATAAGCTCACAGGAACCTCACACTCCTGAGCTCAAGTGATCCTCCTGCCTCAGCCTCCCAAGTAGTTGGGACTACGGGCACACGCCACAGCACCCAGCTAATTTTTCCTATTTTTTGTAGAGACAGTGGTCTTGCTCTTGGCTCAGGCTCAAACTTCTGAGCTCAAGCAATCTCCCCGTCTTGGCCTCCTAAAGTCATAGGATTACAGGTGTGGGCAACTGCAACCGGGCCCTACATCCTGGTACACACAGAATATTTACCAAGACAGGCCATATATACTGGGCCATAAAATAAATGTCAATACATTTCAAAAACTGAAGTTATACAAAGTATATTCTCTGGCCACAGTGGAATTACATTAGAAATTGAAAGTAATAATATATCAAGAAAATTTCTAAATATTTGGACATTAAATAACATACTTCTAAATAAATCATATGACCAGGAAGAAGTCTCAAGGGAAATTAGACTATATTTTCAGTTGGATGATGAAAATAAAACATATCAGAATTTGTAGGATGAAGCTAAAATAGAAAGAAATCTTATAGCTTAAAATGCTTATACTAGAAAAAGATTTAAAATTGATAATCTAACAAAAAAAAATGATCTGTGCTTCTACCTTAAGGAAGTAGAGGCCGGGCGCAGTGGCTCACGCCTGTAATCCTCGCTCTCTGGGAGGCCAAGGCGGGAGGATTGCTCAAGGTCAGGAGTTCGAAACCAGCCTGAGCAAGAGCGAGGCCCTGTCTCTACTATAAATAGAAAGAAATTAATTGGCCAACTAATATATATAGAAAAAATTAGCTGGGCATGGTGGAGCATGCCTGTAGTCCCAGCTACCCAGGAGGCTGAGGCAGGAGGATTGCTCGAGCCCAGGAGTTTGAGGTTGCTGTGAGCTAGTCTGACGCCACAGCACTCTCTAGCCTGGGCAACAAAGTGAGACTCTGTCTCAAAAAAAACCCAAAAAAACAAAAAAGAGGTAGAAAAGGAAAGCAAATTAAATTGACAGTAAGTAGAAAGAAATAAAAAAAGAGTTAAAATCAATTAATAAAAATAAACAAGAAAATTAGTAAAGCAAAAAGTCATTGTTTTAGAAAAAAGTAATAAATCCATCAAGACTAGTCAAAAGAAAAAATCAGTTAATAAAATCAGGAACAAAAGGTGGTGTCATTACAGATTTTACACATTAAAAGGACAGTAAGACACTACTATGAACAGCTTTATGCCAATCTATATGATAGCTTCGATGAAATGAAAAATTCTTTGAAAAGCAGTTTACCAAAACTAACAAAAAAAAGAAATAGAAACTCTTAGTAGTACTGTATCTATTTACAAAATTACATCCATAATCAAAACCCTTCCTATAAAGAAAACTCTAGGCCCAGGTAATTTCACCAGCAAATTCCATCAAAAATTGAAAGAAGAAACACAAATATTTCAAAGAGTCTTTCTAAAAAGAAAGACGAAACATTATAAGAAAACTACAGATCAATAGCCCCCATGAAAATACATACTTAAATCCTTAACAAAATATTAACAGATCAAAAATCAGTAGGATGTAAAATAAATAATACACCATGACCAGGTGTAGTTTATCTCAGGAATAGAAGGTTGATTTAACATTTAAAAATCAGGAAAACCATATGATCATCTCAATAAATGCAGAAAAAGCAATTGGCAAAATTCACCATTCGTAATAAAAACTCTGAATAAACCAAGAATAGAAAAGAACATTCTCAATCTAATAAAGTTTTTCTAATATTAAAAAAAAAAAAAAATACAGGCCAGGCGCGGTGGCTCACGTCTGTAATCCTAGCACTCTGGGAGGCCAAGGCGGGCAGATTGCTCGAGGTTGGGA